ACCACTCATTAATATATTTTTCACCTTGGAAATGTTCATTAATTTCTTTTTCAAAACAGAGTAGTTTTTCTAACTCAAGCCTGGACAAATGACCAGCAATTTAATTTTCAGTCCCCTTTAAATCTACTATTTAAAAATCAAATTCTTGCAAAAGAAGAATCCATCTTATAAGTCTAGGTTTAACATCCTTCTTTTTCATTAAGTATTTAATAACAGAATGATCTGTATGCACTACACAATGAGTTTCAATTTAATATGATCTAAATTTATCAAAAGCATTTATTATTGCTAATAACTCTTTTTCAGTTGATGTATAATTGACTTGAGTTTCATTAAGAGTTTTACTAGCATAGTAAATTACTTTGAAAATTTTATCATATCTTTGTCCTAAAATAGCTCCTATAGCATAATCACTAGCATCACACATTAATACAAAAGGTTTTTCCTAGTTTGGTGAAACTATAATTGGTACAGCGATTAATTTTTCTTTTAATAAATTATAAGTTTTTAGGCATTCCTCATCAAAATTGAAAATTGCATCTTTCTCCAGTAAATGACATAAAGGCTTAGCAATCTTTGGAAAGACTTTAATATATCTTCTGTAGAATCCAACAAGTCCTAAAAAACTCATAATTTTCCTTACAGTTGTTGGATAAAGTAATTTGCGATCACTTGAATTTTAGTAGAATCTACTTTCATATCATTTTTTGATATTTGATGACCTAATACAGCTCCTCTTGCTACCATAAATTGGCATTTTCCCAATTAAGGACAAAATTTATTTCTTCACAGAGCTTAAGAAATTTAAATAAATGTTCTAAACATGAGTCAAATGAAGTTCCAAACACTAAAAAAATTATCCATGAATACTTCAAACCCTTTTTTAATTAAATCACAAAAAGTTACCATCATACATATTTGAAATGTAGTAGGGGAATTACATAAACCCAAGAACATCCTTCTAAAAACAAAAGTACCATAAGGACTGCTAAAAGTTATTTTCTCTTGATCCTTAGGAGATATTTGTATTTGGTGATAACGAGTATATCTATCCAGAAAATAAAAGTATTTATGCCCAGCTAGTCTATCCAACATTTGATCTAGAAAGAGTAATGGAAAATGATCTTTCCTAGTGGCAAGATTTAATTTTTTATAATCAATGCATATTCGCCACCCTGTAACTTTTCTAGTAAGTATTAATTCATTATGTTCATTCACAGATACAGTTACTTCTCCTTTTTTAGGAACGCAGTTAATTAGACTAACACATGCATTATTGGAAATAGGGCAGATAATTCTATAATCTAACCACTTTAAAATTTCTTTCTTAACAACTTCTTTCATAACAAGATTTAGTCTCCTTTGAGGATCAGCACTAGGTTTGCAGTTCTCTTCCATATGAATTTTCTGTATACAAATTGAAGCATTGATTCCTTTAAGATCAGTAATTGTCCATCCAAAGGCTTTCTTAAAATTTTTCAAAATTTTCATCAACCTTTCTTCCTTTTCCATCGTTAATTTTAAGGAAATCATAATTGGTAAAATAGAGGAATCTCCTAAAAAGGCATATTTTAAATGTTCAGGAAGTAGCTTCAACTCAAGTTCTGGAGGTTTTTCAATTGATGGACAAAATGATTTATCATTGTTTATCGTATCCAAAATTTCAAAATTTTCTCGAACATAGTTTGAATCTTCCTTAAAAATTTCTTCACATCCATCTAATTCCTCTTCTTGCTTGTGTTCCAAATTTTTTTTCTTCAGATTTTTCTTCATAAGTTGTTTTGAAATGCAATTCACTTAGATATCTTATAACATCCATCCTATAACATTCATCATCTTTACCTTTTGGAGGATATTTCATTGATCTGAGGATATTACCTTTTGGAGGATATTTCATTGATCTTGAACTATTGAAAGTAACAGTTTGATCGTTGACGTACATTGTTAATTCCCCTTTCTGCACATCTATCATTGCTCTTCCTGTGGCTAGGAAAGGTCTCCATAAAATGATATGTATCTCCTTACCTTCCTCCATATCTAGCACAATGAAATCAACAGGAAAGATAAATTGATCCATTTTCAGTAGGACATCTTCTATAACTCCTTTAGGATATGTTATCAAACGATCTACTAACTGCAGAGCTAAAGTACTAGGGGTTATTTCTCCTAATCCCAATCTTTTGAATATTGATAATGAAATAAGGTTAATTCTTACACCTAAATTACATAAAGCTTTCCCATAAAATCTGTCTCCTATTGCACATGGAATTGTAAAGCTACCTGGATCTTTAAGCTTTTCAGGATGCTTTTCTGAATTATAGCACTGCACTCCTCACTAAGTTCAATAGTCTCATTATCTTTGAACTTTCTTTTTCTCTTGAGAATATCCTTCATAAACTTTACATAGTTTGGGATTTGTTCTAAGGCTTCAGCAAATGTAATATTAATTGTAAGCTTATTAAATATTTCCAGAAATTTTGAAATTTGCTTATCTAACTTCTGCTGACCAAGTCCTTGAGGAAATGGAGGTGGTGGTTTATCCAAATCAATTTTTAGTGGAGAAATAGGTCTTTCAGAATCTTTTGGAGCGTCCTCTTTTGATTCTTCAATTTCTTCTCTCTCTACTTCAATTTCTTTTTGAACTTTACCTTCCAACTCTCTTCTGCTTCTAAGTTAAACATCTTTTACCGCTCTTTATTCTGGTCTTTTGGATTTGATTCAATATTACTAGGAAGTATTCCTTGGGATCTATGACTTAATGTATTTGCTATTTGCCCAAGTTGGCTCTCAATATTTCTAATTGTGGCTCTTTGACTTAGTAATTGATATTCCAATTGTAACACCACTTCTTCTATATACTAATTCTTCTCCTTAAATTGTGTATTACTGTTGAAACCTGGAAGATAAGAAGTTCTATAATTATTATTCCCTTGATTGTTCTAGTTTCCCAATGTGTTTACTTGGTTGTTCCCCCATTGCTGATTATTACCACCCAAATTGTTGTTCTAGTTAAAGTTGAGATGGTTTTTCCAACTTGGGTTATAATAATTTAAATATGGGTTATTCTACTTATTATTTATGACATTCAAAGTTTCTAATGATGCTTAAAAATCTACCATTTCCTAATGAATTCTCTTCAATCCTAATGAATTCTCTTCAATCATGGAAATTGGTTGAGAAAAATTCATTCCAAATTGGTCTAACTTCCTTGAAATTGCAGAAACATGGTTTGCTAACATATTAAATGCATCTGATTCTTGAATATTGTCTACTTTCTTAGGATTCACCCTCTTAAAAGGCCATTGAAAAATATTGGTAGCCATTTCTTCAATTAAAGCATAAGCGTCATGAAATGGTTTTGACATCAATGAACCACCAGCAGTGTCGATAATTGATCTAAGAGATCCAACTAGTCCATTATAAAAAGTTTGAATTATTAACCAATCTGGTATAGCATGGTGTGGACACTTTCTTAGGAGTTCTTCAAATCTTTTCCATGCTTCATAAATAGATTCCCCTTCAAATTAATTCAAAGATGTAATATCATTTTTAAGCTTCGCAGTTTTTGATGGTGGAGAATATTTAGCAAGGAATTTTTGTGCTAAATCACCCCAAATTCTAATAGATCCAGGTGCTAACGAATTCAACCACATCTTAGCTTTATCATTTAGTGAGAAAGGAAAAAATCTAAGTCTTATGACATCATCTGATACACCATCGTATTTAAATGTAGCGCATAATTCTAGAAAATTGGCAAAATGTAAATTTCGATCTTCAGTTGTTGATCCCCCAAACTGATTATTTGATACCATTTGGATAATAGCAGGTTTAAGCTTAAATGAATTAGCCATTACAGTAGGTTTTTTAATACTACAATGAAGTTCATCTACAATGGGTTGACATAATCTCTTAAAGGTCTAAATTCTTGATGAATTTGAGCATTTTGATCATTTTTGTTTGCCATTTATGTATTTTTTTTTTTGGATTTTTCAAAATTTTTAATTTTTTATTTTTTTTATTTTTTAACATCGGTTTTTTTTATTTTTCAAACAGTTCTCTCTAATTCAAAATCGAAGGGCACTAGTCCTTCAGAACCTGAACTACGCATACACTAACATAAAATAAAATAAAACTAAACACACACAAAATAAAATACAATAACTTAAAGTTTAAATAAGACTTTATAAAAGTAGAAATTTGCTTTTAAATTAATAGATTCTTTACAATTTTCACTTCACATCGCCGACAATGGCGCCAAAATTTGATCCCAAAACTGCTTATATGCAACAATATAACAATAAATATGATTATATTTTTCGATTATATTTTCTTATTTAGCAACAACACCAAAAACTTGATCTTGAAGAAAAATAAGAATTTAACCTTTTACTTATATATATTGGGATAGTGCGCAAGTATACGTATCATTATCAAGTAATATAAGATTTTTTAATTAAGACCTGAATAGCGAACCCACAGGGAAGATATGCAATACACACTTTTTTAGAAAACTTTCTATTTTTATAAAGATAATTATTTAAACTAAAGACGTTTTTACAGTAAAGAAAGTTTAAATATTTTTTGGTGCTTTAAACAAGGACTCTGAAAGCTTTTTTTTCATTTTTTCCCAATAAAAAAAAAATCTCTCTCATTATCGCACTACCATATCTGATGTGCTTGAAATCCTTCTGGTCCTCCTCAGATTGGTCATCATAGTCTTGAGGATATTCAACACGGGAATTAACCTGACAAAAATAATACGATATTGTGGTAAGCCGCAAAATATCACATTTTTATGATTGATTATGTAAATTACTAGATCAAAGACATTAAAAAGAAAATAAAATACTCACCAAGGTCACCAACATTTGAAATGGTAAATGAAAAATGTGTAGCCTCTTCTTCCTCTCATCGTCAATTAAAACATCAGATTCATATGATGAATATGACTCCCTGAGATGCATATAATTTAACATGAATTGTTTATGAGCACAAAGTAGTTAGCGGATGTGAGAGTGACCTTCGAGTTAACTGCAACTGCAAATGGTGATTCCTTCCAATTGTTGACTGAGATAATACTAGCTCGGTTCTTACATGTTCTCACATTAAATTTTATCATCTGGTTTGGCCAAATCAAGAAGTAAATGAAGTACATGGATTTAAATCATCACAACTTCTTACAACATTAAAGATCAATACTCTCCAAAACTTCCATCCAACACTTAATTACTTATCATTTTAAGAAGAAAGATAAAGAAAACTACTCAGATTCCAGTGAGAAAACGAAACCACACTTTAGTTTAAAATTAGAAATCATTGCCAAACCAACACAAACCAACAACAAGTCTCAATAACAAGTCTCAATTAAAACCAAAAGTAGTCTAAAACAAACGATAAAAACTTATCTCAAGTCCTCCACCAAACTTGTGAAGTTTCTTTGAATCTTTTTTTTTTCACAACATTCTCAATATAAAATTAAAATAAAAAGGATAAATATGTGGTGCCTGAAAATCTCTTCAACTAGCTCCCCAATTTTAGAACTTTCAAAACTTTTTCAGTACTTTTAGGACCCCTTTGAAAGTCCAGGACTCTTTTCAATGTCTCAATCTTTCTTCTTTTATAATTCTCAAAAAGGTGCCTCGGTGTCTCTTTTAAATGTGTCTTGATTAGTTGTATTTCCCCCGAGAGATGCATCCTTTCGCAATATTTTAATCGATGGTGGTTGTAACCACCTATTAAGCCAATAGGTGCCTAAAAAACCTCTTCAAAATTTACAAAAAACTGAATTTACTCATCCAATAACTACCACTGGCGCTTAAGCGCGGGGCCTCAGGCACTTAGGCGCAGCCTTCTCTGTTTAACTGGCGCTTAAGCGCCGGATCTGGTGCTGAGGCACCAAAACACGTTAGACCAATTTTTTATCTATTTGCTCCAAATTTGATCATTTTTCATTTCTTTAAGCATTTTTCTTTCTTTAAGCATTTTTCACCTTTTAAGCATTTTTCACCTTTTTATCTGTACCTGAAAGAAAAACACAAAAATATCTTCCATTAAAGAGCAATATCTCAAAAATAGGTACAAAAATGTGTCTAAAAATACTATATATTTTAGGCGTATCAATAAGCCAAGTGAGATATGGCCAAATTTTATTTATGGTGGTACCTTGAGTATGAGCTAGTATTTATCTCTTGATCCAGCATTCTAGAGAAATAGTCCATAACTAAGATGAACATAGTAGGAGAAAGGGGGTACCCATGTTGCAGTCTTTTAGAAGCAGTGAAGGTGCCCCAAGAATGCCCATTAATTAGGATTGAATGATTCTTATTATTTAGCCACCTAGATATCATTTTACAGAACTCTATAGAGAAATCCCTGGCAGCAAGCACCTCCAGAATGAAGTCCCAGGAAATGGTGTCATAAGATTTTCTAATGTCCAATTTGTATATGAGATTTCCACCTCTGCAGGTTTTTTCCAAGTCCAATATAAGCTCCTGTGCTAGTAGAACACTATCTGCTATGGATCTTCCCTTGATGAAAGCAGTTTGGTTTGGGCCAATAATCTTATCAAGGTGTGGTTGAAGTCTATCCACCAGTACCTTGCAAATGATTTTTTGGATTATGGAAATAAGGCTAATAGGTCTAAACTGATTCCAATTTCTACTATCAGCTTGTTTAGGGATCAAAACCATGCAGGAAGTAGTAAAATACTGTGGAAGGTTAGCACCTTGAAAGAAACTTTGTATGCCCTTGATCAAATAAGTTTTAATGATTCCTCAAGATTTTTTGTAGAAGTTTGCAGTAAAACCTTCAGGGCCAGCAATTTTAGAGTTGTCAACAGATTGAATTGCATCCCAAATTTCCCACTCAGTTGGAGCATCATTCAAGAAGAGGCTATTGGTCAAATGGTGCTCATTGCTGAACAACATAGGGTCAATTTGTGGTCTATCTACCGAAGTTTGTGACAGTAATTTGGTGAAAAATTGAACAGCATAAGCAAAAATAGTCTGGTTATCATGAATCCACTGACCAGTTGAGTTATGTATGCCATGAATGGTGTTGCATTTTCTTTTGTATTTGACAAAAGCGTGGAAAAACTTAGTGTTCCTATCATCATCTTTAAACTTATTAATAACAACTTTTTGATTCAGAAAGCTATCTTGACAATCAATTATAGTTAGAAGTCTTTCTTGTGCCTCAATTAAAGAAGTTTCAAGCTCCTCATTTTTTTCAAGCTCCTCATTTTCTATCCTCATTTTCTAGAACAACCACCTCAAGTTTCTTCACCTCTTTTTTAGCAGCTTCCACAACAAGGTGAACATCCCCAAAGGTTTGCCAACCCCAAGCTCTGAGAGGTTTGCTAATCTTAATATAGAGAAACCAAAGTTTGGCCCAAGGGTCCTCCTGGATCACCCCACACCAGTGAGTAGCCACACATTCCAGAAAAGATGGATGAGAAGACCACATGTTGATATATCTGAAAAGGGGGGGTGCATGGGGTAGAGGAGGTGGGGCAACAATTGTAATTAGAAGAGGTCTATGATCAAATCCTACCAAGCTCAGATGTGTCACATAAGTATGAAGGAATTTTTGGATCCATAGATCATTCTCCAAGAATCTGTCCAATCTTTCCTAGATCTTGCCCCTCTTCCAAGTGAATTTGTTGCCAATGAAGCCCAAATTAAAGAGTCCAGCTAGTTGGATATTATCATAGACTTGGTTCATTTTAGATAAATTAGATGGACTACCACCACTTTATCAGATGAGATAGCTATGAAGTTAAAATCAACACCTACCAGCTAGCTGTTAGCCTTGTTTGCACTTATACTCCTAAGTTCAGACCACAACTCCAGTCTGGCTGACTTGTTGCAGCCTGCATGCATAAAAGTTGCAAAACCAATGTGACCATTCATATGAAATGATAAATGTACAAATTGAGGGTTATCAATCAATACATCCCAAGTTATCTCTTTCTTGCACAATATCAAAATTTTATTGTTAATATTTAAAGAATGAGTGAAATCAATGAATTTCTTAATCAATTTTTTGGGGTTTTTATGAACCATAGGTTCCAAAATTGAGATACAGCAATTATTAAGATGGATAAGTATTTTAATGGAGAGGGGATTGGCTATTACCCTAATGTTCTAGTAGATGAAGTTAACCATGTGGAGAAGGTTGGGATTAGGACCTCACTCTCCCTTGTCTGGTCCTGGATGGAGACCCCCTCAAAGGGGATTTAGTACTCACCATAGATGAATCTACTTGGAGTGTTTGGAGTTCCCCATATACCTTCTTCTTTTTTCTTGCTTTTTATATTTGCCAATCCATCTCCAAATCTTTGTTCATATCAGTTATCTTGTCGGCAAACATTTCAATCTGTTCAGATGTTGCAGTAGGACCTGCCACCAAAGTTCTAATCTCTGGAGTGGTGTTGGCTAATAACTGATGTGCAATCATAGCCATTAGAGTGGGTGCAGCAGTTTCCTCCATACTTTCCTTGGCAGGAGCCCCTATTGATTGTTTTACCACCAGCAGTTGAGACTCAGGTTGTGTGTTGACCATAGGCTGGGCCAATTGGGTAGCATCATTAGATTCCACCAACATCTCCTTTCCTCTGATTGCAAGGACACATTTGTTGTGTACAGTTTGTGCCACCAAAGATTGTGGTGTTTGATGCCCCTCCTCAGGAGTCTTCCTTCTAAGATTCTCCAGAGTTGCATTAGTAGGTTCAGTAATCATGGGCATTGAAGATGGGGATAGTTCTCCAACAGGCAATGTGGGCTTGGATTTATTTGGAGGGTGTAGCCTATAACATCTATCTTGCGTGTGTCCAAACATCCTGCAATGAGGATAGTAGTAGGGCTTTTGCTCCATTACAATTTTTTGCCAAATTCCATTCACAGTGGTTCCCATCCAGATTTCCTCCGCCATAGGCAATGTGATATCCCTCTCCACAAATATTCTTGCTACTGAAGGCCTTGAAAAGGTAAAAGTGGGAACATCCATCTTCAGGGGTCTTCCCAAAGGCAATCTAATATTAAATAAACCTTTGTGATTAAGGAAATGAAAGGGTAGGCCTGAGAGCTTGAACTAGATATGGACAATGCAAGGTTCTTTGCTAGGATCAAAATCCGATGTCCATTTCAATATCTTCATTGAGCTTCCTTGTAAATTAATTGACTGTTTAGCAAAGAATCATGCATAATCTTCCTCCAACTCAAACCTATATGAAATATGGCGGCCATCCACCAATCCCACCTTCCAAGCCTCTATGAAAGGGAAGTTTTCAAAGTATCTTCTAACTATTTCCATTTTGGGGTAACCAGCTGGAATTTGCCAAGCAGGATGAACTTGCAGTCTACCTTCAATGTTTTTAGCTCTTCAGTCTTGTATTAAATGGTTGGTTTTCCTTCTTTAACCACTAAGGAGTTGATGAGAGATCAAGGTTCCATACCAAAGGCAACATCATGGAGTACTTGAGGGAAAACCACACATCATCAATGACAACATCCTTCCCCTTTCCCACAACTCCAGCATAAGTGGCTTTAGTCCATTGTGCGTTAAGATTTGGATCTAATGGCAAAGGATCAGCCATGGATCAAGGAAGAAATCCAGTTGGTGCCAAGGAAACAAGCAATGGAACAGTAACAAAAATTCAATTTTGAAACTAATCGGCCTTGGAAAACTTTTTGAAGCAGCCCGACCACTACTATCACCAGTAAAACCGCCAAGGAGGGAACATAAACTCTTCTTGTCACCAGCCACCACGCCCAGCCGCAGCAGTGAGAACTCATCCCTGCTGAAACCTAGCATAGCTCCTTCTCCAATTTTTATTTAATATATTAGCCTTTGGGCTTTATATATATATATATATATATAAATATATATATATATATAAACCCCAATTGCTTATATTTTCTCCTTCAATGAGGTATATTAGAAATCAACTACATATTCACTTTTTTTCGCTTATAGCTTACCTAAAATTTGTATATATTTTTTATAATAATTAGTTGCATTTTTTCTCTATTGATAATAAGTGTTCC